CCTGCTGATTCATCTATTTTTGAATGATTGTCTAATACAAAAACTGGAATAATGAGGCTCTTCATTTGACAGCAGCTTATAAAGACATTTCCCTGAGAATCTTTTTTGATGCTAGCTGTATTTTGCTGCTTTTATCCTGCATGCTTCTCCCCCACATGGCTCTATTTGCTGCTCATTCTTTAATGTAGCACTCCAAGTTATCATTTATTTAGGAACCATAAATTCCAGACAGAGGAAGTGTTTCTGTTGCTTTGTGCTCACAGAAAGATGAATTCAGACTTCGAGTGCCATATTGTTAACTACTGGCTTGTCACTGAATGAGACTTCTCACATTGCTGGTATTTCTTTTTCTGTATAAATAGCTAAATCGCTGCCGGTCCTTCTGTGTCACTCCCCCTCTCCCCTGACAAAGGATGTTTGTTGTTGTTGTGTAAATGAATCTTTCAGACTGATGTCTTGTAGTTCCCATTTGATCTTCCAGAATTACACACAAAAGGAATCTTTATAATATGTGCTCTTGTTAAGAATTTCTGTGACTAATAAAACTGTCTTTGCTTGTCTTTCTGAACTGGCCATCATTTTTATTCGTATGAGTCAAAGGTGTATTCTCATAGATGTTATTCTACTTTCCTTTTATGTTTTCAGCCACTTTTATCTAAGAAACCACAATTTCATTTGTGTCAAGATTTTACGTCCATTACCAGTAATATCAGGTGAAAGCTGGCTATTTTGGTCATTTCCATATTTTAACTTGAATTAACATTTAAGGATTCTACTCTCTGGGTTAGGAAAGCTCACAGCTGTCCAGTCAAAATGAAAGCTTTTTTTTTCAGTTCCTTAAGTGACATTTTAAAGATAAGGCCCACTAATGGTGGTAATGTAATTTTTGCACAGCCCAAATCTGTCCCTGAAGGCAAACATCAAAATAATTAATTTGAATGTATCATAATACAAAATATGCCAACACTGAGGTAGGTGGGAGGTGATGATTTTGGCTGACACTCCAAATGTTAAGGGATTAAAAAAAAGCCCATTGGAATATTACTAAAATACCCCAGTGAACATTGTAAGTTATTGATGCAACTACTTTTTAAGAATTTCCACCTTTTCCAACACAACAACTGCAATACAGATAAATAAAAGCGCATTTTAACTATATCCACTCCAAAAACAGACTCCTCCAGATGCTGAAATCAATTCTACAACTACACATTTCTGGCATCCTTTATGTGACCATGATCCGGTGTGCTCTGACTATCTATTATACACATTAATAGCCAGCCTCAAATGAGCCTTGGAGTCAATGCCACATCTAATTACTCTCAGATGAAGTCAATCAGGGCCTATATTTGCCTAGCTCCCACTCTGTATTTTCTGTTCAGTGGGAGGACATTGATCTGGCTATATCCAGCCTTTGAGTCACTGTGATACTGCTAAATGCTCTCATGTGGGACTATGTCGGCTAATATGCAGCTGATGAACTGCAGAGGTGACGGCTGTAACCTATTGACCTCAGTCTAGATGCATTCAGCATTAACTGCAAGATTGTGCAACTGTGATTCAGTCATTTCCTGTGGCTGCCTATTGTGCTAGCAAGGATATACTCTGTCACATTTATAGACATTTTTGTGTGCCGAGGCACTAAAAGAAAGTCACAAAGAGAAAGAGATTCAAAGAAGGGTATGCAGACTCCACACAGGAGCAGACAAAAAATGTTGTTCAGTGACATTGTAAGCTGTATCCCTGCAAGCAATGAAATCGGTTTTGAAGTGTTCAGATTTGTGTATTTACCTTGCTAGTGGCCTATACAGGGCAGACGAAAAGAGGTGGCAGCCATGTCATAAACCTGACACATTAACGTAATATCCTCAGTGAAATATCACACACTCCCCACATCTCTCCACCACCACTGTTCCAATTGCACATTAAAGTGTGTGCGGTCATCTCCTACTACAGCACTGAACGTCTCCTTTAGCCCAATGATTGATACCTCCCATTCAGCTGTAGAAAAGCCCTCCAAGCAGCACAGCCATTTAGCCAACAGCCTGAGTGATATTGATCTGAAAAGTCTGAAATGAGGAAAATAGAATAGCACTGCAGCCAATTATATTATAATGAAGGCAGGGGGGACATAACCTCATAAACTGTCAGCACTCAAACACTGTGACCTTGCTCGTAAGGAAAGATTTTAGACCTGATAATTGATAAGCAGCTAAAAGTCATTTGCCCCTTTAACAGATGGTACGGGTCTATAGTCATGTGCAATTAGAAAGACACTCCAATGCACAGTGCCCTGACAGGCTATTGTGCCAGAAGTATTGGCAGGTAGGCATTTTAGCAGCTATAGATACACATAAAAGTTATCATGGATGGAGAAAAGGATCTGGCACAATACATGCCCTATTGATTTGTTTAAAGCAGCAGATCACTCTTTGATTTCCTCTTGTAAGACTAATGAACAGATCATTGATTTGATGTCCACTCATCAAAAACTGGGAGCATAGCCAAGCTCTGCAATGATCTGACGTCTGCTAATCTTTTTGAACCCACCATGACACCAGCATCTGCAGTGCCGTCTCCTTGTGGTGCACTGACTGCAAGCATCTGGAGCTTAACCTCATGCCAAAAGAAGGTCATGGCTGTTATGTACCACTTGGTGGCAATATTGAGCTGTTAAATGGAGCATGCGTGACATGGAAGGACTCCTACCAGGAAGGTGGGAGCACTGCCAGTGATGTGGCAAAAAAAGCAGTGTTGGGGTTTATGTTGAATCACAATGCAGTATCACAATGCAGATAACAGCCCTACATTTCTCTGCTGTGTTACTTCTCAGAATATCAAACCTATGCATATGCACAAGCAGATGCACATTGTAAATCAAATGAAATGTTGCATCATACTTGTTTTTCATAAGCTGACAGTTCTCTTGCTGTGTCTCTTTTGCCCACACACACACAGAGAGACAAACTGAGGCAGACCTGCTTCAGTGCTACTGCAGTTCCAACGCTTCACATGCAGATTCTCAGCTGTGTTATGATCGTTTCCTCTGTTTCATGTCTTGACTTTGCAGAAAAATTGCCTTTTTTAAGAAAGATGGCAGTAGTACTAAATCTCTATCCACACTTCTATTTCAAAGTAATCTTTAAATTCAGCTACATAAACAAAGTTGTCAAGTAAAACAAGTCAAATATGCTCCAGTGAAAATGCCTCCAGCAATCATGCTCTGCTTATCTGGCTTTGTCCACATTTAAAAAGCAGCTGGGCAAACAGTCTCTCACAAAGTCGAAGGAGCTCCAAGAGACGGCTTCAGCCCTAATTGTGTTAAGCTCACTGCTGACTCCGGTGAAGCACACAGCACTGTAGATTGGTAGAATCCTCATTAGAGTAGAATCAGTTACAATGAAAATAACCAAATAAACCCTGTGCGACATGGTGCAAACTTTTAAATCTACTGTGTAACATTAAAAAATTAAAGAGATGCTTATATCGTCTGGTTAAGTCCTGCAGTTTCCATACTCTGTCTTTTTAACAACTTGCTGAATTAAAGAGAACAAGAGACAGTAACAAAGGTTGTGTGTTATACTTTTCTAAATGCTGTGTAAAACCAGGCTCTGATGTCTTAAGAGGAAGGAGTCAACATGAGTAGAAGCACTTTGTGAAGCTTAGGACAAAAAGTATGCTGGGATCTTCAGCCATATTGTTATTGATAAATATTTTCCTACCTGCAAATATGAAAATATCAGAGTAAGCAACCTGCCAACTCTTCACCTCCTCTTCTGTTCTCCCTGCTCCTGCCTGCAGAAGTTTCATTTAGCTCTCACTGATACCAGATCAAGTTGCTCTGGCCTCTTGGACTGACACGAAATCAATGGCAGTGCATCTGCAGCCGGTGCAGCTTGCATATTTAAAATTCCCGAAGCTGCAGGACTTGGAGAGGAATCTGTGGGGAGGGACGTAAACCTCAGCAGTGGCCAAGTGTGTTTTGACTGATGGACCTGTAGATTGTGTCTTGTGACATGGACACCAGTGAAAGCAGTGCACCACAGACTTACTTATGTACAATCTATGCGGTTGCTTCAAGAGTTCTCCAAAATAAATACACCAAGTCTGTACCTGTGCATATTTAACAGTTTTTTTTCTAGATTAAACCTGTGCTTTGTTGAATATGAGGGCAGTTTTGTAGTATTCATGAAAGCACAATAAATAAATAAAAACTCACAAATAAAACTGTAATAAAAACTCCACATTTAAGAACCAACTACAATAAAAGTTAGTACACCCTTCATTCATGAGATCATGTTCTTTTTGTTGTTGTTGTTACTTTTGAATTAGTTTTTGGATGACACATTTGATCCTCCTGGACATGCTGATATCAGCCTGGTACAAATCTGTGAGAGATGTTCTGCCATTCCTCGCAGATTATTTTCTGCTACTCTCTACAGGAGAAAGTTTCTGTCACTTCAACTTTAAATTACTCCAAAGGTGTTCAGTAGGATTCAAGTTAGGGGACTATGGCCAGGTCATAGTTTTCACCTTGTTTCTTTCTGCATAAAACTGCAGAGAGTTCCTCTCCTGCCAAGCTTCATGAGACTGGGAGTCAGCTTTACTTACAGTATTTGTGTATACAAAGTTGTATTCACAGTGCCATCTTTAAATATCTTTTGCAGTCATGCAGCCCCATACCAGCACACTCATACAGTCACTATGTTTGTCCTGGTCAGGTCCATCCCAAATATGCTGGACCCGATTTAATTCAAACAAATTCATTTTTGGTTTAGTCTCACCGAAGAATGTTCCTCAAGCTTTTGTCTGGGTTCTTCGGCAAAATTGGCGCTTGAAGTTTTGTGTGCAATGGCTTTCTTCTTAGATGCCATCTGTAGAGGTTGACTTCAACTTCATGCAACATTGTTTGCACCCAGTGTCTGTCACTGAAAACCCCGGCCTCCACAGATAATCCTTGT